GAGGAGAAACATCCAGCAAGCAGCACAGGGTGATATCTTGTTATCTCTTTCTATTGCTCTTGATTATGATCTCAAGCAGAAGCTTTTCATTAAACAAACCAACAATTTCTAAAATCTCCTTGGGTTGAGAAGGGCCAGATTACTTACACAGGGTTCTATGCTCAAGGTTGACTCAGCCTTCCATCCTTCCGAGGTCGGTAAAATGAGTACCCAGCTTGCTGGGGGTGCAATGTGTAGCCTGTATAATTAAAAATTGTAAACCGCCCGGAGAGTGCTTGTAGCGCTATGGGGCGGTATATAAGTCCAATAAATAAATAATAATAAATAAATAAATATATGGATGTGCAGTTTGGTTGTAAGGTAATATTTCTTTTCTTCTATTGAGAATCTGCTGTTGCACTTTTCAGTTAATTCCTACCTGGTTTAACCTGGTTTGGAATAAAGGTGTGTGTTACAGTATCTCTGTGGCTCTGAGCACTTGATTCCATTAAGAGGAGTGTCTAATTGCCCTCAACAGGCTGTGTAAACAACAATGCAGGGCCCTAGGCTACAGAACAGAGCTGCTGTAGGTGTGTGAGGTTTCGGAATGTGCATGAGTGCATCATCTTCTCTTTCTTTAGGGCATTTGCAGGCTGCAGCAAACTCACTTTTTGTTGTGCCAGTTACAGTCTGTCTGCCTCTTCTCATCTGGAACTTTGACTGGATGTCTGAGTTATTGCAGAGGGCTGGAAAATGCCAGCTTTCTATTTGGAACACTGCAGAACAGTTTGTTTTAATTTATAGTCCTCCCAGCCCTATCCTGGAGGCTCAGGACAGATAAGAATTCTAAGCATAACTTCCTGCTAAGGGAGTAAACCTTGTCAGCTCCCGCTCCAAGAACTTTCCACTCTCAGTTTTTTTAGGCTGTCTCACAAATTCCCATTCTTCCTGTTCTTTCCAGGGAGGTACCATTCACAAAGCCTATCATGCATGTGTAGGCATATGCATAGACAAATGTTTGGAGGGTTTCTTCATTGTGGTTTTTGTGACTTACACACGTGGGCCCATCTGCCTTCTACAGCTTTGTAGTATGCTGGTGGAATCCTGCCTCCACTCCACTAATGAACATGACGCTGCTTTAATGGTTTCTCTGCAGTTCCTTTATACTTGTATCTTTAAAACAGGTCATGCAACAATCAATGTATTCATTTGTGAGGGGGTTGTTTTGATCAGACTGGTCCCATCCTCAGAAGCCCAGGAGAGCCTTAGAGAAAGCAAGTCTCCTAGGCCCCTAGCCTTCAGGGATGCAATGCCACAGGTGGAGGAAACGTTGCCACCTGATGTGGTACAGCTGGAGAAAGATGCAATGACAGGAATAAGAGCGTAGATCTTGGGTTTTTTGTCTACTATGTTGAATGAAGGAGAGATGTAGGAAGAGGCAGTTGAGCACTGGGGCTCCATCTTCTGCACCTCTGTGGAGATGCAAACAAGGATAGAATGCAGGTTGAGCCACCACCTCCTGCCCAGCCTCCATGTAAAAATATATATCCTGGTAAGATGGGTTATATAGGCAGCCCTCCACAATAGACAATTGTAAGCCCCAATGAGAATGCTGTCTCCACCTTCTGGAGATTGGTTTTTTGTTCAGTGTAAGATAGAGAGCCACGAGGCAGACTTTGCATTGCCCATGTTAGAGTGAAGGTGTGACTATATAGAGACATTTTCAGAGGTTGGCTTCAAAATGGTTGCTTGGCTTTTACACAGCTCTCTGCCCTACCTCATCCCTGCCCTTACTCCAGAGTGAAATAACACTGAATTAGTCCAAAAAAGACAAATAAAAATATTCATATGGCATCTGTTGAGATCCCAATCATTCCAAATAATGAGGACCCTCTGCATTCATTCCAAAATGTCCGAATAGGCATGAAAAAAGGACAAGCTACTTTGAAAGTAACTGTATATCATGTAGTTCCCAGAAAATAGATTGAATGCAATTGCCCCAGTAGGAGGACAAAGAGAGAGAGATTGAAATGTAATCACACCCTGAGTTTTTAAAAAAGAGAATCAGGTAAGGGAAATCAGTGTGGTTGAATTCTATAGCCTGGAGATATATAAAGTTACTTTCCCAAACCCATAAACAGACAGCAAAAATGAGAAAATTATCTTTCTTTCTACAGGCTTTTCTAACAAATTTTATTAAATCAGTGCAATTCAGTTCATGATCTGAAGCACACCCCCACTTATGATCCCCTACTGCTATGTATATTATCTTTGGTTTATGTGGCAACATTTTAAACAATAATTTATTCTTTCACAGAAATTTTTAAAAAAAACCTGGGCCACCTGTTCATTGTACATTCACAGTAAGGTACTCAAAATTAATCAAAGCATATTTGTGGTCCCTGTTTGTTCACACAATACGAATAAAATAAACCACTTTTTGAAAACAGAGTCATGAAAGACTACATAGCGTGTTTTTTTTTTTTAACCATTTAACGGTATCTCATCATAATGCTTTAAATTAGCTTCAATACAGTTGCCTTTCTGCCCTTTCCATTTTCATAAGTGGAAGAAATGCTACTCTTTTACAAAACCTTGCAAATTGTATTACATCTAAATTATTCCCCTGTTAAACTTTTTTGTAACTTAGGAAAATAGCATATTCTGGAATCATGTTTACTCAGCTGAGCACAACACAAGCTCAAAAGGTTATGTGAAATGGTAGAATAGGGTGCAGGTTGCAATGGTAGTGAGTAGCAAAGTGTGTGTGACCCCTGGCCTGTTTATCACTTTATTCGACTTGGATCCATCTTGACCTGCTCTTCTTCTTGGCTAAACTTCCACCTATATGTTTACTGGACTACAAAGAAAAGATCTGCAAAGAAATGGGTTGTAAGGAAAAAGCAGGAGCCAAGAAGAAAGGAATTTGTCTTCCCTACCCAGTTTTCTGTCTTAAGTCAAACTCATTCTTCTCTGCTTGACTGCATGCACAAATATACATTTACACTGGTAACTGTATAGTGATGACACACATCTTCCCTTAAGAAAATGAGATTTTTAGTGTTAGGGAGTGGATACAACAAATACATGTTTTAGTAGAATCCCTGACAGTTGAATGGATCTTCATAGGATATATAAAGGCTTTTCTTTTCCTTTTGGAAAGGTGCGCCCATATTCGTCCCAAATCAGCTCACATGAGCAGAGACAACTGCTAACTTAATGCCAATTGAACTCGTTACAATTGAAAAAGATTAAGGGATGTTATATAGGCCAGTATGATTTAAGTAAATATTGCCCAGCAGGACATTCTAAGATGGAGGATATGGTATATTTTCTAACGAAATACTCTCTGTATGCAGATTTGAGGTATCAGTACAGTATCTTAAACCCTTAATAACTGATACCAAGAAAAACTCCCCCTTATGTGTAGTTTTTATGTGTGCTAGCTGACAACAGACCATTATATATCCTATAGAACCTCTAAATTCATTAAATGAAACATAGAAACACAGAATATATTGCCTGATTCACAGTCTCTACAAGTTAATCTTACAAGTTGCAATGTGCTGGGGAATGCTTATTTTATTAATTTATGCTTTTCTGATTGTTTATATTAGACACTAGCTATCATTCTATAAGAGTGGATTAAATTTATATTTATGCATACAGCCTGGCTGGCTTTGAAGCAACAAAGTAAAATTGAGTTAAGTTTATGAATGGATCTTCAGAATTATCAACATTTGTATTAGAATCCTACAATAGCTGTTTGATTTTAATTATTAATTTCAGCTGGTACCTTGTTAGATTTACTTTGTGTGCCACAGCAATGCAGAAGAAATTTTTGTCATTTTGCAGGATTTCTATTAAATGCTGGGAGTGTGAGCAGGAGTGCAGTACATTCTCTGTGTTTATCAATGGTTTGATCTTTTGTTGTTGTTTATGTTCTTCTATATGCCATGGAAAGGAGGGAATTTTAACAGGTATCTTACAGTTCTTTTGAATAATAATGAATATGAATTTGTGTATATCCTAGTTTCATAGAAAAACATAACATCTTTAGGTTTTCTATGTTGGTTTTTTGAATCAGAAATATACCTTTTACAAAAGCCAATGTAGGATAGAGGAAATATTCATTTATAAGATTGTGTAGAGGATTTCTCTTAAATGTTCCCTTCTGTCACCTTCCCAGAATTACTAAAGGCCTACTGCTCTGAATAGATCATATAATTTTTAATTTTTACTTACAATTATAAATTTGCAATATTATTCTGATTTTCTCTAGAAAAAGAAGCATAACAGGGCAGTTTTTATATTCTAAACAAAAAACAAAATGCATTTTTGCCAGTGCCTGATATATGGGGAAAGTTTTTAGGACCCAACACATGGCTTTTAGCTTAAATTTCTTGCAAATTATACTGGAAGAGATAAGTCTTCATTTATCATCCTGTTATATCTTCCCGCAATGCATTTCCCATTCCTCTGCATGTAGTAATCCATCAAAGTGTTGGCCAATGTAGAACTGAAAGAATTCATGGTATGTATAGTAAACACATAGCAACCTGGTCTTGTTCTTTTTTGTAGGCAAATGATTTGTGGGAAGTAATGATCAAGGGGAATTTAGAATACCCAAATATTACAATTCATTTTGTGTAACTAATAATATTGCAATCAGTGATTCAATTTTGCTGAAATAAATATATATATGAAATATATAGTTTGACTTTGTCACTGAGACTTTGCTTTTGCTAATGGATGACATTGCTTTCCTCAAGCTTCAGTCCATATTATTTTTCATTTTAATATTGGCTGAGAGATTTTGCTGGGAAGTATTGAACTGAATTTGGATTATGCACGCCTGAGTGGGAGACCTATGGCTTTCCAGATGATTGTGAATTACAACTTGTACAGTATTATCCTACTATAACAACTGTGAGGTAATGGATGTTAGAGTCCAAAATCATCCAAGGGCCCTGCAGCAAGGACAGCTAGATTAAAGACTGATGTGTTATTTGTACCTCCAGGTTCCCAAGAGGATGACATATTAGAGGGACGAAGCAGGAAGTTGAACCTTGGACAGTATGACAGTGATGCCCCTAAACAGTCATTGTACAGCAAAAGTGGATGGACAAAGTCGTCTCCCATTGACCACTCTGAAAATTCAGGTTCATTTGTGTCTAGAGGAGAGACCAAAGAGGTACACAATAATCATTTGAATAAAAATCAGTGTGGCATTAAGTATGTTGAGACTTAGGTCCACTCTTTTCTTCAAACATTAACATAACAATTTAACAAACAGACATTTCTGTCATTCTTATATATATTAGGAAATATTTTGTGTTTTAACCTTGTAGATGAGACCAGTAACAACAATTTGATAACCTGATCTATCCCTGGAAGTGCCAAAAAGTGGATGGAGTTCCTCTTCCAGTACATATCCAGTTGAAAGTAATGCAGGGCAGGTGGATGGCATTGTGAAGAAGCTTGCCTCTATGGAGAGTCTGTGCCTATGGTCACCATTATTAAGGCATTTCTGTAGGCCTTCTAGTTCTTTTGTACTTGCATTCTAGTCCTTTCTTGTGATACCTTAAAACACAGAGACACCACATGTAAATATCTACTGCTATTTTGTATCTCTTTTCTTCATATCCCATGGAGAATGTTCTTGGTGTTCCTATATCCTAGCAAGGCATTTGAATCCAGTGAAGTAACAATTAATATAGCGGAATCAAGAGGTCACTAGAGTAAGCTATGACAGCAAAGTGAAGTTAGCTGGAAGATCACTGTGAGAAAGCAGTGCCTCTCCAGATACTGTTGGACTGTGACATTCCATTCCATTAGTTGTGCTAACTAGGGCTGAGGGAACTAATAATTTTTAAAAAATTAATTTGCTAAGTTTTAGCTATTCCTCAGGGCCAGGAAAGAAATGTCTTCAATCTAAAATATACATTTTACACAAGCAACAAAATAAATTTCCAACTGGTCATATGAGCTTCATGTCTGGTATTTCACATTCAATAGTATATAATGTACAAGTTCAAATAACTAATATTCATTGTATTTAGAAATGTGTAGTGTCTGACCAAGTAGCCCTACATTATTATGGATGGATTTGTGCACAACAAACTGGTGGTTTGCTCTGTCCAGAGCAAGAGGTGGCAGGCAATTTATTTTCCACCCTTTTTCTGGATAGCTCTGTATTTATTTATTTTTTAAAACCTTTTCCTTCCCATTAAAAGCAGTGAAAGGAAAAACACCTGTACCATCCTGGAAATGGTACAGCCTAGAAACTTAATCCAGGTGTTTGTCAGGGAAATGAAGTGGATTTATATATAGATAATCAACAGACAGATATCTGGAATGCCCCATGGCAAGAGCTCCTTCAGCAGAAACACTTATTTGTTGCCAAGGTACACTGCTAATGAAGCTCATAGAGCTATTGAGATTTCCGTAGGCTTCTGGGCAGTTTTGTCACGCTACTAGTGGAATCCCACTCCTTTGGAATATGGGTTTCTCTGCCCCGTCCTATTCCTCCTGCTTTAGCTGAACTTTGGTAGGAATTACTACTGTTCTTTGAACTGTAAACTTGAAAATGTGTACGTCTACTCTCTTACTAACTTCACATAAGCCACCCTGTTTCATCTTTGGTCCTAATCTGGTTTGTAATTAGGGGTGATTACAATGCTGATTGGTGATACAGAGTTCCACAGATTACTGAGATACTAGCCGGAATCACGTTGTGTAACTCCTTGCACATTAGAGCTTATGATATCTTCAGTCACAGACTTGAATCTTTAATTTCAACATTTATGTTTCCCCTACTCAGGTTCCAAACCTTCCTAGGGATCTAACACCTGAGAAGCCTTGGAATTGTGGGGAGGCTTTAATATCCAAAAATTGCCACTGGCAGGACCAGCAATGATGATTTTCCTATATTAAGGGCTTCCCCCTGAATCCTGAGGCTCCCAGTTTATCCGTGGAAAAATACAGAGTTAAGGGGAATTGCTGATAGCTCTTGCCTAAAGGCCCGCAGAAACTTGGAACCAGCTCCATTATTTCAGAAAACATTAGAAAATATAAACATGGTATTGAGTTAATGGCTGTTTCCCAGGTTATCTGCATTTAACTGCATCCCTCTCTCTGTTTGTAGTTTTAAGGAAAATGAAGTGTTTCTACTTTATAACTGGATTAAAAATTATATTAGAAGTTTATATGTGATTTTTTTTAAATGGCCATATGTCCGTTTTGCATTCTAGATGGGTGTTGCAAGCTACCATGGAGACCTGAATGAAAGAGATGGCAGTATCTTCTCACCAACCAAAAAGGGAAATGAAACAGTCCCAGTCACTCCAGCGTTTCCAGTATCACCAGAGACTCCCTATGGTATGAGTGGTTTTCATGTATTTATTGATAGCTGTTTTATTTCTGACTACTAGATTTATAATAAATGTTGTTTAATTTTGTTCTTGTACAGTGAAATCTCCCCTGCATTATCAGCAACTGAGTCCATCTGGTTGCCAGAGCTGTATCCCATCAGAGACATGCCGAACAGTTCTTGGTAAGAATTATTCTGACATTTTCAGTAGAGTAAAATACAAATAGTATAGAAGCTGTTCACAAACTTCACTGTGAAGATTTGTTTGTATGGTGGTGAAATAAATCATTACATAGACCTCTGCTTTCATTAAAATATGATGTGTGATGATAGCTGGAATTGTTCCACTGTAATGACAATACTCTTATTGTGTAAATTTACTGTAACTTTTTTAAACTGTTTACTTAATATTTCAGTAAGGGGAAAATCAAAGTGACCCAAATGCTAAGGAGGATAGGCCCATCTGTACAATTCACAGTCATGTAAAAGAGAGAATTTAAGCAGGTTTGACTCTTTCAAAATCATTGAATAACAAGCTGAACCTGTCAAAATTTCAACTCCTGAACATCTTTTCAAAGCACGAAAGCTGCGTTCTTGTTAGCATCTAGTCACTCTAGACATTCAGCCAAGTTGGAGCATTACATAAATCTACTCCGATGACTTAGATGCTGTCACTTTTTTTCCTTTCATTCAGTGCAAATGCTTAGATAAATTCACTCTAAGGTAAACATATTCCAGAGGCTTAGTTGCTTTTTATGTATCTTGTCCCTTGACGAACTTTGATATTTAATGAGAACAAAGGCTGCATTGAAGACTTCTCCTGCTGCTGACATTTTTCTGGCAGTATGCAACTGTAGTAACTTAAGCATTTCATTTGTATGTATGCTTCTTCTTCATGGTCTCTGTGAATGCACACCAATGGGTTAATCTGTGCCTGTGAAGAGCAGCCTCGGAACTTTCTAACTCAAGCACATGGTGCTGGGACTTCCCACACACTGGCTATAACTCCGCCCCCCCGTCACCGAGTGCCTCAGTTCCTTTGTTGCTGCCACTGCAGCAGCTTTGAGGAAGTTTCGTGTTTGTTTAAAAATCAGTTGCCTTCCTTTCCTCTGTATCAGACCTCCCTGGTATTACTTTGGATTGTTTTGGACTTCGTTTTTCATCTCGTGAGTACGTTTGGAAAGCATAAAAATGGACTTGTGTTTATGGCCGCTCTGGGCCTTGTAACAACAAGACTGCTTTGTCTGATGGCCATTCCCGTTGTTTATTGTGCCTTGATGAAGAGCACCAGCCGGCTTTGTGCGTGGTTTGCAAGGGCTTCACTAAGCCCTCACTGAAGTTGAGGTTGCAGCGTTTGTGGTCTTATTTGTGGGAGAAATCCTTGTCTCCGTCTCGTGGGACCCTTACAGACTCTCCTCGTGCCGAATTGCTGACATTGCTCTCCAACTCACCGCCATCGACAAGGGCTTCCAAGGTGGCCAAAGTGGCATCCAAACAGTGTCTTCCTCGAGGTCAACGGCCACGGCATCAAGGTCGAAGCCTCCCTCAAGCTCAGCATCAAAGAAGAAAAAGAAGGTGCACAAGCATCAACGTTCCCCGGAGGTAACTTCTCCCTCCTTGCCTTGTCCAGAGAGTCCCTGGCATGACCCGCCTGTGGTGCGGACCCCTTTATGGGACGATGACAGTCCACCTGAGTTGTCGGACGTTTTGCCATCCCCAGATCCCAGCTTCTCCCCGGCTTGGGGGGATGCCTCAGCGGACCTTTTGGCTCATGCTAGCCTGTACTCTACACTGGGCTCTTTGGTGGAGCATGCTCCAGTTTCGCCTACTGCCTGGTGGAGCATGCTTCGTAATATGCACCCAGCCTATAAGTCTCCTACCCCTCAATGGTCCCTCCAGCTAGTCCTCAATTGCCTGATGAAGCCACCCTTCAAACTTTTGGCTTCGGCGTCAGAACAGCTTCTGACCTTAAAGACCTTGATGCTGTCACATTGGCTTGCTGGGTGGGGGAGTTGGCAGCCCTGAGGATGGTTCCCCCCTTCCTACAGTTCCATCCGGACAAGGTTACTCTCTTCCCAGACCTGTCATTTCTTCCCAAGGTCTCAACATCTTTTCACCTTAACCAACCCATTGTGTTGCCCACTTTTTTCCCTTCACCTACCTCTCCTCTGGAAAGGGTCTTACACTCCCTCGACATCAAATGGGCTCTGTCCTATTATGTATCCCGCACTGCACCGTTCCGTACCTCCAAAAGGCTCTTTGTTGCATTCCAAGGAAACTCTAAAGGCTCACCTGTGACCACGCAGACAATCTGCAGATGGATTGTTTCCACGATTCATCTTGCATATGAGCTGGCTCAGGTTCAACTGCCTTCATGGAAAGTCACTGGGGTTAAAACCGTTCTTTAAATACCTCACCTTGTAAGACCTGTTAGGGTTGCTGTAACTTGGTTCTGACTTGAGGGCACATAACAATTGCTTTTATTATTATAAAATCTATTCAGTGTGGAAGGCAAAATTATTTTTCTCAAAGGATTTATTTTCCTATAGTGGAAAAAAAAAGAAAATCAACAAACTGTAGCCTAAATCCACTTGCTACTTCCTTGCTACTCTCTCTCTCTCTCTAACTCTCTCTCTCTCTCTCTCTAACTCTCTCTCTCTCTCTCTCTCTCTCTGATGAATAGGGGGGACCAGCTAAGCATAAATTCCAGTCCTTTGCATTCTTATATTGGGATATTAGACAAGTTCCCATAGTGGTTGGTTAACGTAGCAAGCAGAGGGCAGAATTTCTCAATGGTAGATTCTTCTAGCTGGGCATGTCAGTAACTGTCTAGTTTCTTTGTGTGGCATGTTTCCCTTTTCTCTCCCTTATTGACAAAAACATGTTTGTCAGACTACTGTGAACTGTGCATGTTCAATCAAGTCAGAAGGTTTGTGTTTCTACATACCAAAAAACTGCTGTCACATAGAGTGGCTTAGAAAAAACAAATGGCAACCAGATTGTTTCTTTGAAGATCTGATTTACAGTCCCTGGATTTTAAAATAAAATTTTTAGCAAGCATGTTAGGATTATTGTCTTCAGATTAAGCTCCTAGTGGGTAAAATTTCTATTGAAAGTTTCATTGGTAAAAATATAAATAAGACTTAATTACTGATGTTTATTCTCTGAATGTGTTACCATCTGTAGAACCCTTAACTTTTTCCCTGTTCATTAGAAACTTTATCATATGCTTTTCAACATCAATTTAGAACATCTGAAGTAGGCTGATGACAACTATGAACATTACAGCAATTATGGATCATTAGACATATGGCAAGATAGCACAGTGAATTAGGTATCTAACTGCAAGGATTGGAAATTTGATTCCTCACTGTGTCCCCAGGAGAAGATCTAGCCAGTATAGCCTTGGTCAATCTGCACAGTTCCAAAGCAGCTGTAGAAGACGGAAATGGTAAACGAATTCTGAGTATATACTTAGAAGTATTTGCCATAAATTGGAGTGGACTTGACAGCATGATGATGTTAAGCATAGAGTCTGCCCCCATGAACATACGTTTCGCCTGAATGAGTTTCCTATGCAGCAGTCCTCATTTCATTGAGATGATGTGATATAGAAAATGTGCTGGAAGTTTCCAGTGCAACATTTATTGACACACAAAATGTTTCTAGGTCAAGTCCTTAGGTGTGCCTTTTCTTGTCCTTCATTGTCAATAGAAAGGCAGATCTGCCTGGTGAGCCTGTGTAGGATGGGTCCATTCCTGAAGACTCCTAAATATGTCCTCAAACCTGGATGCCAGATTTTAGAAATGGCCAGGAGCACTTGTGTATAGCTAAAGCCAATCTGCATACCTGCCATGGTGACACGTGCACAAATAAGGGCTGTGTATATTACCTGTGTATATTACCTGTGTGCCAGGTAAAGATTCCAGCCTTTGAGTAGCTAATCCCACTTTGAAAAGCAAGTAGTCACTACAGGCAGTGTTTGGTTTCTTCTGGGTTTTTGATTAAATGCTAACTGGAGAAAAATTCTATAGTAGAAACTTGGTCACTGGTAGTGTGAGAGCAGCTGTTTTTCCAACAGGGATTCTTGTGTGGTTCTTAGGGAACAACAGTGCTCTGTCTAACCCACTCTAGGATTTATAAAGACCCACTTGTCTTGTGCCTCAACCAATGAATTGAAGTCCTTTGTGCTGCCCAAGTTAAAACATTCTGCACCAAATGGCTTGCCAACGCTTTGAGCTGTGTCTCACAGATGTCCTCTGCTTCAAGATTCCTGGCCATAAAACCACAGGGCTTGTGGAGGATTTTTAGAGTTTAGCAGAAGCAGAATTCATAAAACCAGGACTGTCCAGGGAGAAATTTAGTCAGTCTAACTTTAGCAACTCTGACCACTGGGAATTCATTAAGCCACATGTATGTTCTGTAAACCAATCTGTCTCAAAATCCTGGGGTGGAAGATGGTCATCACTAGGAGGAGGATTTCTATGGCATTTGACATTTTCTCTGCAACCTATATTTGAACCCGTAAGCAACTTCAAGCATGTTTAGGAGTAATCTGGCCTTTTTCACCAGAGTACTCATAAACATATTCAAGGCACCATAAGCTGAAATATAGGTTGCAGAAAAAAATAGGACAGGATATAGAAATCCTCCCCCTAGTCATCACATTTGGGAGACCACTTTCACAAGGATACATGCATCCACAATATAACAAACAAGCTAGCCTGAGTGCAAGGTGCCAGCCAGGCTTCTTTCCCCTTCTTTGGAGCAAGCAGGAAAGAAGAAGGCTAAAAAAAACACTTCTGGGTGGACTAGTTTCAGCGGCTGCAAGGTGATAGCCAATTGAAACTAGAACCCATGAATGGGTTCATGGTGGCATCAGGGAAACAGAGACAGATGAGTAGCAATTTCCACTTTGCTCAACCAGCATGGCCAGTGTACACAGATTGTAGGAATTGCACTGCAAAAGACCTCGTTGACATCAGATTGCTCTAGGGTTTTAAAGAAATGCCTTATTGCAGATAGTGAATATTAGAAGGCAAACAAAACTGCCTAATAAGCCTGTGTAGCTTCCCCTGCCATCCATTGTGCTTATACATATTTTCATATGTATTCTCTGTGATACTTTAAATCCCAGGAGGGTAAATTTCACCTCAAAGGGCAAATATCACATACAGTTTTAA